GAAGTCTGGTCAACTTTGGTCCAGCAGTCGTTGAAACCAAGTCCACAAGGAAGCAACCCAACACGTTCGTTGTTATTGAAGTACGTTTCTTTTTCCCATAAGCAAAGCCTGAAGTCGTCTACTGCGCCACTGAAAACCACCGCAAGATCGCACCTTTGAACTCAATTCTTTATTTCTAGCTTTAATTTGCGCTTCTGCAGTTCCTGCGGAGGATCCGAGTGAGAGAAATCGTCTCGTTTCAGCTGACTCCTCAGGTATTTAAACTTCATCCATTTCTGGGTTTCTCTTTTTCGCTTGGTAGTATTAAAATATCATTATCCAAAATTCTCTTATTGTAATAGACAGTGTCTGCTTCAATTTGTTGACTTGAGGTGTTCTTAAATCTTAATTCATTACATATTCCTGTTTTTTTATCGTCATTTTGTAAGTTAATAATACATTTAATTACATTAAAAATTATAAACAAATTATTAATTCATATGCTACAAATACGTTTATATAAAATTGAGGAAATTTACGTGATTTTATGTGCATAAATTCTTCCAAAATTCAGGCTCGATTCCTTAGTTCTGTTTTTTAAAGTAATGATGGCTTCTTCTCCCCACAATTTCCTTTTTTTTTTTTTAATAAAAAACTGAGATACCTTATTATTAAAGTTTATATAATTAGACTAGAATATACTCAAAAGGTATCTCAAGTAATTAAGAAATTTAGACCTCAAGTGGGAGATTAGGGATTAAGAGAAAAGGTGGACTACCCTTTGTTGCATAGCCCACATTGTATCAATAAAAATAAAAAGACTAGAACACTAATATCATGTTACCTGGGACTTTGTTAGGATCTTAATTTCTTGACAAATTGAACTCAAATCAATTTAGCATTGTGATCAAAACCAAGGATAGATAACAATTTCATTCAAAAAATTATAAATAAAATTGTGAGACCTTTTAAACCATAATATTTGCATAATAGTCCTCTATCGACTAATTTTTCATTCAAAATTTAATCAAATTAGATTTCTTATAGTCCTATCATCCCAAAACTTTTACGTGTCTCTCAAATATATTTAAACAATTAAAATAATTTAAAAAATATATTTTGATAGAAATTTAATTTTTTAAAACTAAATATAAAAAATATCTTTCTTAATTGACTTGGCCATATCTTCTTTTTTTTTTTTAACTTTTTGTCATGAAGCGGGTTCGAAACTCACCTAAAGAAAGGGGATATATACTTTTTCAATGGCACTAATTATTGGGTCACAAGGGCCAAGTTGGCCATATCTTTTTTGTCTGACATGAGACATAAATTTAGATATTCTCTCTATTAGATGATCCTAAATCTCCATAAACTAATTATATAGTCCAATATTTTTGTATATATCATTTTTTTTTTTTTTGGTTTAATGGTCAAAGTATCCCAAGACTAGTTTACAAGTGAAAATATCAAAATTAAATAATTTACACACAAAATTAAATAACAACTTCAAATCCAAGGATTTTTTGTTAATCGTGAATAGAATAATCTTTTATTCAATAATGACTAATCTAAGATTATTCTATATTAGTGTGGTTCGATATTTTTCTTATAATACTTACCGTGTTACTATGATTCTATTCTAGTGATTGAGACCTCGCTACACCATTGCATATGGTAATATAACATGTGATAATCAAGTTGAGCATACTGTTGAAAATATACTCATGGTTGTGAGCAATTTTAAGATCACATAATCATGTCTCCTCATTGATTATATCCATAATCTATATGATTTTATCTAATATGTGATCTAAGGAAAATTTAATAATAGTATCATATTACCCAAAATTTACATGAAATTAATTTTGCTTTGAAAGGCACATGTTTCATGATTTCCCCAATTTTTTTTTTTTTTTTGGTACATATGATTTCTCCAATTCTGTGTCCTAAGCTAAATTCATTACATGCTCCAGAGCATGTCGGCGTAGAAAGGATGGAAGTTGGAAGTAGCAAGACGAAGGGTAGTGATGCGGCAGAACTGGTTCAAGTCAAAATTGAGACACTAGAACCGCGGCCACCAGTCTTGCAAACATTTGACCACATGAGTCATGCTCGGACCAAGGCCCTCGACGCACTGGCCACTGTTGTTGGGGTTCAAACTCCAGCGTTCCCATTTCACTCAGTCGGAGAGCTTATTGGATCTCATCCTGAAATACACCCAGATGTTGTCAACTTCATTATAAATTCCGAGGAGGATATATGTAACAATGAAGAATTGTCATCTTTGGTGAAGGAATATTTAGAGAACAGCATACAGACATTAGAGTTTTGTAGTACCCTTGAGAATTGCTTGAGACGTGCTCGAAAGAACCTACAGATTATTCAGCTTGCAGTTCAAAAGTTTGAGAAAGAAGTACTGGATGGGGGGGAAGGAAGGAAATTCGGGAAGACACTGGACGAACTAAACAAATTTATAGCAGCTAAGGAGCCATTTGATGAGGAATTCGTTGAACGGTTTTGGTCTGTGCATAGGCAGCAAGTGTCGTTGTTAAACAAATTGCTACAGAAAAAGAGGGAGGTGGATAAGAATCTGCAATCAGCGAAAACATGGAGGAAGGTGTCTAATTTCTTTTTCTTTATCGTGCTTCTCTCTCTAGGGATTTTCTTGTTGGTGGCTGCTGCCATTAAGGCATCAACTGGAGTAAAATCTGTAGCAACATCTGTAGCAATATATGTGGCAAGTCCCTTGGTAATTCCTGTTGCTAAATCACTGGGAAAATTGTGTAACTGGTTTTTAAATCGTTCTGTGAGGAAATTGGAATGGCAGGGGTTGCTTATTTCAATGGAGGGTTTTAATAGTTACATTACAATTAAGGACATAGAGACTATACTGATACTTGTTAACAACATGGAAACTAAGATCGAGCCACTTTTGGATGGTGCTAATTTGGCACTTAGAGAACCTGAGGCTGTGAAGCTTGTGATTGATGATATAAAAAAGAGAGAGGAAGAGTTCATGGAAACCATTGATGACTTGGGTAAACAAGCAGATAGGTGCAGCCAGGAAATAAAGAAGGTAAGATCACTGATTTGGCAGAAGATTGCAGCTCATTCCCAATCAGAAGCTGCAGATTCCCCTTGGAACCAATTATTTGGCTGATGCTGCATATGTAATGTCAATTATATGCTCTAGGTAAAGAAATGCCAGCTCTACACATTGTTGGGTTTGACCCTCTCAAAACTCTAGAAACAATTGAATTGTTGAGGTGCTCTTTCCTTTCTCTTATTATTAATCTAATCGCTGTCAGCAAGCAGCCCCTATCTTTATCAGCTATGATCCCCATGAGTTTTGATTTAAGTTCTTCGATCCAGGTGTTTTCTAAAATGCTGACTGTGAACATGTGTAACATTTGGTTGCAATATATTGAATTGGATTTGCAAATTAGTTGTTTAGGAAGGTTTTATTTTTGTCAGAAAGAGAGAATTTTATAACTTGTCGTATATGTGAATGCTTTAATTTGATGTGCATTGTGCTGAAATTATATAGAGTAATGAGACTATGGATGTTCAATTGAAACTATTAGTGACATTAAGTTATTGACAAAGGAGTATTGCAAATTAAAGGGAAGGCTATACAAAGTATAAAATTTAACAAAAAAGTGTTTTGTAGTGTGTAATACACATAATAGCAAACGGCACAATAGAGTTCTCCCTTTATCTAATAATTCTATTTTGTAAACTTTTGCAATTTAAGATGTTTGGTTTTTTTTATATTTAAATTTTAAGTACATGAGAATTAAAATTCTAAAATTTTTACAATATATTTGGATTAAGAGGTTTAAAGGAAAAGGAAAGGAGAGTGAGAAAGAGATATTACCTTCTCTTATTTGGATAATCATTTTTAATGGATCAAGAGAGAAATAAAGCTCACTTTACTACTGTATTTTTCATCCCTTCAATTCATAAGGAAAACGGAAGAATCTCGTTTGTGAATTTATTTATTTTAAAATTTTTAAATAATAAATTTATATGTTATTTTAATTATTTTTAATTAATAAATTAAAATATTATATTATATTATATTATTAAACTATTTAATTAAAATAAAAAAAATATTATATTATATTATATTATTAAACTATTTAATTAAAATAAAAAATATTATCTTTATCTCTTTTTATTTTTGTCTATCCAAATAACTTAAACATTAATTATTTCTTATACTTTTACCTTTCTTTCTTTCCCCCCTTCCCTTCTCATTCCTTTTTCAATTTTTATCCATACAACAGCTTAACCACTGTATTTCATATCGGGCCCATCTATTTCCGAGTTTCACCGAAAAACCCTTTCTTTTTCAGTTTTCCACCTCAATCAAAATCGACTTCAATCAAAAGCTCGAAACTTTCACTGAAAGATCGGAATTTATGTTCAGAACTTGCTGTTATCTCACAAAATTTGCACACCTTTCTCCTCTGTATCCTCATTTTCATCAGTGGAAGCATTCCTTCAGATTTCAACATTCCGTTCGCCGATTCAACCCCAGAAAACCAACCCAGAAGAAAGCTCCCAGAAACTTGAAGAAAGGAGCCAAATTTACTGATATCCAAAATGTAGAAGCCAAGGTTTACATGAGGGACACCATATCAAACATTTACAAAATCCTCAAGTACTCCACCTGGGACTCTGCTGAACAACAGCTCAGACAGTTCCCCATCAAATGGGATTCTTTCACTGTCAATCAGGTTCTGAAAACTCACCCACCAATGGAAAAGGCATGGCTGTTCTTCTACTGGGCATCGAAAATTAAAGGGTTTAAACACGACCAATTCACTTACACAACGATGCTGGATATATTTGGAGAAGCCGGGAGGATTTCGTCGATGAAGTATGTTTTCCAACAGATGCAAGAGAAGGGCATAACAATTGATGCAGTCACTTATACTTCTGTTATGCATTGGGTTTCTAGGGGAGGAGATGTTGACGGGGCGGTTGAAGTGTGGGAGGAAATGAGAGAGAAGGGGTGCGAGCCTACTGTTGTTTCTTATACGGCTTACATGAAGATTTTGTTTGATAATAAGAGAATTAAGGAGGCCACTGATTTGTACAAGGAGATGCTTCAATCTGGGATTTCTCCTAATTGCCACACTTATACCGTGCTAATGGAGCATCTTATTGACGCTGGTGAGTGAATGGCTAATTTATTTAGATAATGCCCATTAGTTGTTTGTTGAATTGCCTCAATGATTGTGTGTTTCTGCCTTGCTTGTTCTGGCACACCCTGAAGGCTAGTTCTAATGGTTCTGCATTTTATCAGTAATGATATATAGACTGTAGAGGTTTTTGGTTAGCTCTGTTGATTGATTGTAGATTCTAGTTTTTACAATATCATGCTTTGCATCAATGGGCCATATTGATTCAAACTCATAGTGAAGTAATCTTTGCATGGATGAATTATTGCATCTTATTAACGTTGACGTGCTAAGGTAACATAAAAAGGTAGGCTAGTCACAGGCTTGGTCTTGTACATTGCCTTCCCTGCATCCTCCCATCCTTGCTGGATTGTTATTTATTTCAGGAAATAATTTTCCATTTTGTGATGAATCTAGGCAAGTACAACCAAGCACTTGATATTTTCAACAAGATGCAAGAAGCTGGAGTTAAGCCTGATAAAGCTGCTTGTAATGTTTTGATTGAGAAAAGTTGCAAAGCAAGGGAAACTGGGGCAATAACCCAGATTCTTCAGTATATGAAAGAACACTTCCTTGTCCTTAGATACCCCATATTTCTTGAAGCTCTCAAAACTTTAAATGCTGCCGGTGAGAGTGATCTTCTCCTAAGGCAAGTTCATCCTCATATTTCTGTTGAACGTGTTAGTGATGAGAAGGAAGTTGAGGTTATAAGAAATGGATCTGAAGTTACTTTAAGTTTAGAAAGAGAACTTGTATTGCTTCTATTGAAAAAGAAAAATCTTCTTGCTGTTGACCATTTGCTTGCTGCATTAGGTGATAAAAATAAACAGCTGGATCCTGCAATTATTTCAACTATCATTGAGGCAAACAGTAACCATTGCAGGCTAGATGGTGCATTATCAGCCTTCAACTATAGTGTAAAGATGAGCATTATCCTTGAGAGAACAGCATTTCTAGCCTTGATTGGCATTTTAATAAGATCAAATACATTTACTAGTGTAGTGTCGATTGTTGAGGAAATGGTTAGGGCTGGTTATTCTCTGGGAGTGTATCTGGGTTCACTATTAATCTACAGGCTTGGATGTGCCAGAAGGCCAACTTGTGCTGCTAAGGTTTTTAATTTATTGCCTGATGATCAGAAGTGTGTTGCCACTTATACTGCTTTGATAGGTGTTTACTTCTCTGCTGGGAGTGCTGATAAAGGAATCAAAATTTACAAAACCATGCGAAGGAAAGGGATTCATCCCTCTTTGGGCACATACAATATTATACTAGCTGGTCTCGAGAAACTTGGAAGAGTTTCTAAAGTAGAAACTTACAGGAAGGAAAAGAAGAATCTGCAGAAAGAGGCTTTTTTCCGTGAAACTGTTTCCATGAATGAGAAAATTTGTGATCTTCTATTTGCTGGGGATGTCATATCTTGACAGTCTGGTATAGACTGTCAGCATATCCACATTCTTGGGATAGTGCAAGGACAGACAATTTGGGTGGCAGATTGGCATGGAGTGTAAATTAGCTGGCAGGACGAAACTCATTCTTTTTCTCGTGCAGATGGGATTGTTTATCTTGACAACCTAGACATGCAGAACAACATCTCATGCCTGAAATACTGGAAGTTAAAAGGAAGGAATTTCATAATATTTGTCATTATTCAACATGCAGGGGCCAAAATTTTGTCTGTGGAGAACTTTTTACATGGCTTGATGCTTTTAAACCATGGATCCAAGGTAATGTATGTTTTTTGTATCTAAGAAGTCCACTAAGTTCATTATTTGCTCTGCCTAATTGCTGGGGCAGACACCTGAATGCTCATTGTGAGGTCTAAGAGTTAAAATTCATTTCAATCACTTTGTTCATCTAAAAATAGACATTCTGCTGCAAAGATGCTTGTTCTGATGATAAAATAGAACACAAGGACTCTAGTGGCGTACGCATCTACGATTCCGTAACATAAAATTGTGAATGTTTTTTTTATCATGGGTGCATTAGATTTTTCTTGTGGGGACAAGAAAGAACATGGAAGAAGCAATGCAACTGATTTATTACAACTCTTATTTATATGCAAACATACTAAAATTGTTTTTTTTTTCTTTGTACATCAGATAATAGGGTATATAACAAAAGATAATTTTCTTTTTTCGTTACTTTCTCTCATCTATTTTAAAATTCAAATTCAAAATCTTTCATTTAAAATCTTAAGCTTTTAATCACTTAACATACCGTACCTCACTTGACGGCTGAAAATTATTTACATTATACAAAATTTAGGATAGGACGGACAGAAACGGAGGAGAAAACAAGCAACCTAATAAATGATTCTGGAATAAAGTTTTGTTTTATTCGAAGGTTTTTGTTTATTGTTTGCCTGTTAATTAAAAACCAAAGTTTAAGGGAAATGTCCTGCCTTGAACTACCTAGCGGATTATATATCTGTTAAAATACAATTCAAGGCAGCTCAAGGCAGGCAGGTTAGGATATGTTCGTTACACATCAGTTGATTAAATTGAAACTCAAGTAAAATGTCCAGCTTTGAACAACCTAGAGGATATAAAATATAATTCAAGCCAGCTCAAAGTAGGCAGGGTAGGAGATAATTGTTACACATCATTTCTTCGGTCCCTGATGAATCATCGAACAGAGATGTCTGCATTTTACGGCATGCTAGATTTAAAAATAAAAAATAAAAAAAAAAATTGATGATCAAGGCACGAACTCAAGCCCAGATCGTGCCTTCCACTTCTCAAAGTGGGCAATTAGCTAATTAGTACATACTATGTTATGGTAGTATTTCAGGGGAAAAACTGGGAAAAGAAGGTCAACCTTTAGGGTTTCTCTCTTATCAATAGTTTATCAATAGTTATAATTGTGTAGTTCATATTAAATTGAACTGTATAATATTTTTTTTGTTAAAATATTAGTCCTTTTTATTGCGAAAGATATTCTAATTGTTAATAGTTATGAATATGAGGCTTAAAAAAATTATGAATTTGATTTTTAATTTTACAAGTTTCATATTTAAAGGCTTGAGATTGGGAGTGGAACTAGGTCAACCAGTCAAATATGTATAAAAAAAAAATGTATCATTTTCTTGAAAATTTTGAATATTATGATGATATGTAAGCATCTCTCCCTTATTCTTTACGTGGCTTTGTTTTCTCCTTATAATATGCTTGGCTTGAGGGGAGGAGAGGGGAGGGAAAGGAAGGGAAGGAAGATTATTTAACCAATCAAATTATAATATTTAATAAATATTATCATTTAATTAATTAAAAAACTTTCTTTTACTTTGTCTTCCTCTTCATTCTTCTCAATTTAAATATAGGGTTATAAAAAGATTAGCAACCTTATGTATGTAAACCCTAATCACATCATTATTACAATGAGACTCATATCAATGTTTGTGGACCATTTATAAACAAATATTTTCAATCTCACGTTTCCAAATAAGATTGGGATAGATTTTGGACAAATAAAATAAGATTGAGATTGAAGGTGAAGTCGCTAAATCTATCTCATGAAGAATATCTTAATCTCTTCTTTTTATGGTAAAGGAAAAGAGAAAAATTTAAGGACTAGTTTAATTGGTGTATTGGCTCCTTCTTAATTAAACTATAAAAAGAAGCTAAAATTGATAACTTTTCATAGGAAATTAAAAATAACTAAATAAGAATTTTCAGTCCTATTCTGGTATCATGTGACTCTTCAACTTAAATCAATTGGCAATCTTATTTAAAAAAAAAATTGACAACAATGATGCGCTTACTGTGATATATGTTGTAATAATTATTTCAAAATAATGATAAA